AGGCCAAGGACCATTAATTCTAAAGTTTACAAATATGTTTTTAAAACTTGATATTTTAATACTTGGTACTATTCATTGACTTTTTTTTTTTGAAAAATGTGTCGACCGATCCGAAACTTCCAGGGGTCTTATGGGTGTATTTTAAAATTGCATTTTCAATCTAGGCAATTTAAAAACCTCCCGAGACCCCATTTCATTTCCTTTAGCAGCAGCTCGAAAAGATTTTAAATTTCTTGACCTGGTTTCTTGGGGGTATTCTGGGCATTTTACAATGCATTTTCTTTGTTTCCTTCCGCTTTGTCGGGTAGAAAACTTGATTTGGGGGGGGGGGGGGGTTCTTCTTCGTGTTTTTCCAGAAAAATTTGTTTGATGGCCCGTTTTTACTCTCAGTTGCAGACAGATCCCGTAGTAACTTTTTGACCCTCTTGACCTTTTCTGATCTAGGGGCATTTTTGGTATTTCATAGTGAATTTTTTTTTGTTTTCCTCCGCATTGTCAGGTAGAAAACTTGATTTTGGGGGGGTTTTTTCTTTGTGTTTTTCCAGAAAAATTCGTTTCGAACCTCGTTTTGGCTCTCAGTTCTGGCTAGAACTTTTCTTCTTCCAGCATGTCATGGTGCTTGTTGGGGTGCTCGTTTCGACGTCGTGACGTCGACTTTTGTTTTCGCTTGTTCTCCTTCGTCCGGACTCCAAATCGAGTGAACTTTTTTTTTAACTTGACTAATTTTTCACTGTCTTTCCAACGGTGTATTCGGTTGCACCTGGATCTTCCTGAATAATTACCAGTTTACCCTTTTAGCCTTAAGTACTCGTTTTCTTTGTCTTGCCATTTCTCCTTCGTCCGGATTCCGAATCATGCGATTCTTGAGTCCATCTTGATTAGTTTTTTGTTGTTTTTCCAGCGGTGTACTCGGTGGCACCAGAATCTATATTTTCATAAATGACTATTTTGCCCCTGGGGGCTTATTTGTCATATTTTCGATCTTTTATTTTCGCGTCAGTTCTCATTGAGTTCCACAACCTCATGAAAGGTCACTTTGGTGTCCTAAGGATGTTGTATATCCCTAGAGACTTGTTTTCTGTTTTCGCTTCCGTATTTTGGATCCGTTATCGGGTCAAATTACGGTTCATCACAAGACGCACTGGCTTGAAAAACCAGGGCCGTCACATGTATGATCATGATCAGGATTTAAATACCACAACTCTAAACTCACTATGTGTTTAAGTGTATGTGTTCTAGAAAGATATCAGAAAAATCAACTCCGATTTTCTGCAAAAATAATCTTCCTAAGGCTTTGAATAATATCTGAATAATAATGTAAAAGCCGTAAATAAACCAACGTATATGGCATGGTTTATATAGAGTTTAGACTGACCTAATCCCTTTGAAAATAAGTTAAAATTCGTGCATATGATTTGATATAATTCTAGACCAACTGGGAAATAATTCAGAATAAGGAAACTGAAGTTGTATAGCAAACAGGACATCTTGAACAGGTTCAAAGAAGCTGAACCGGTTTAAGTTTGGCAGATAATTTTCGAAGCCAAACTTGAGCATCTTGAACTGATTCAGAGGGGCTGAACCGGTTCAAGGTTGGCAGACCTGAATTTTTTAATTCCTTCAGTCTAGGTTCATTCTACGGTAAGTTCCGGCCAAAATGGTAAGTGTAGAATGTGTCCAACCTTGTTTAGAATCCTTCCTAAAGTGGTGTTATTGCCTTTTTCTGCAAAAAATCTTCGAGTATGATAAGTTTGAACACCTTCCCAATTCTGTAATCCTTGTCGAACTTGATAACTTGTAGAATAAGTAATTTGAATTACAACTCAACTTGGACTTGTTATGTCTACGATAATTGCCAAAAATAAATTAATATCTCACAAGTTCAATGAATAATTATACATCTTTCAAATCCGAAGATGCTAAAAGGAAGTTATCTGAGTGGAGGCGTGGATTCCACCATATGCCATTATCATAACATTATCTGACGAGGCCTACATTTTACTCGCACAAACTCCATTTGACAACATTTGAATTCGAATAATATATCTTTATTCTTTCTAAAAAGAATTGTGACAAATCTCATAAGTTTAGGATTCAAAATGAATTTCATACTATTTGTTATTATTATTATTATTATTAAAGTCTATTATTAACCGTTACAACTCAATAACTCAATTCGGTTTAACGGATATCTAAAGAAAATATTAAAATTTTACAAAAATATTATAGTTTCGAGGAAGAGTTGTGATGCTAATCATGAATGTAATTCAAGATCTGTATCTTGAATCTATGTGGAAGTGACGTGAAAGTGATGTGACTGCTTCCTAATTAATTAAAACATAAATTCAAAAATCCTAATACAACTTATCTTCCATATCCGACCGATCACAAAGCTAGATGCATTACATAATGTCAATCTTGTTGCGTCTGTCTTTGGCGGACAACAACAATCAAAGTCTACACACACTTCTATGTTTATATTTTGGTTAATTTTGTGGGTTTAGGTTAATAATATGATTTTTTTTTCTTTTACCTTTTGGGAATGATTTAAATTGGATGAAGAAAATCCTTATGGAAGAAGGTAACTACAATTTGTGGATTTAGGTTAAGAATTTAAGTTTTTCCTTTTTACCTTTTAGGAAAATTCAAATTTTATAGAACTTATAAGCATAAAATGGATATGAATTTATTGATGGCATTTTCATACACTTGGCCTGATCTTTCGCTTTGTGTAATAAAAAATTAAATTTATTTGATCAAACATTAGATATGAAAATGGTGGATCCAAAACAAAAGAAAAATAATTTTGAAAGAAATGTTTAGCTATAGTACCGTCGACCATAGCATAACTTGCCGGGGAATAAGCAATTTCTATGGGCTAAAATTATAAAACTATCAAATAATATTTTTAAAAGAAACTATCATATTGTCCCTTAATATTTTTAAAAGTCCATCATATCATCTCCTCCCCCATTAATTCCTTTGTCTAAAACTAACAGGATCTTAAAACTAACAGGATCTTATAGTTATATCATTTTATGATCAAAATAACTTTATAATTCATAATAATGAAATTAACCTTCTCACACTATAATTTTAGTTTAATAGAATATTAATATATTATCAAGGGCATTATTATTATTTTACAACAACTTAACTTTCCGTCAAGGAAAGGAAAGGGGACAACGTGATAATTTTTGCTAGTTCACAGGATTGTTTGATAATTGTCTAATTAAAGTAGTTATATGACGTTTTTTAAAATAAGAGGGCGTTTTTATGATTTTAGCCCAATTTCTATATAAGGTGAGGGGAAAAAAAATCTAAATAAAGTAAAGAAATAAAAGTAAAAGTCAAGATAAACAGAGAAGTGACTAATAAACAGTTGCCACATTGTTAAGATAAAAGATCATAAAATTCATTTCTTAATATTTGTTGTTTCTCTTCAAAGAATATCTAGTTTCTATAGAGGGAGAAGAAAAACTCTGTCAAGAAATAAAAAGTAAAAGTCAAAATAAACCGAGAAGTGACTAATAAACAGTTGGCACATTGTTTAATATAAAGATTATAAAATTCAATTCTTAATATTTATTGTTTCACTTCAAGGGATATTTACATTCTATTGTGATCTAATTTTATATGTAGATTATGGTTTACAGTATTGATCGTGGTATAATAAATTCGAATATCGCATGAGTCTCCCGATGTTGCGAGATATCTTTTTTGATTTGAAAAAGAGGGTGAAGAAAAACCTTGTCAGGAAATGCACTTCATTTATTGCTATGGGACCGTATATAACAATCTTTCATACCTAAATATTCATGAGAATGCAATACGGAGTAATTATAAATATATTGAATTAAATATTGCAACACCGTTAAAATAAAAAATGCAATACAATTTTCTCCTTATTGCATCATGATGTCCAACTCAGCACATGATACTGGGTCCTGATTCGTTTATACCGTTCATTGCCGCGTATTCAATGGCAGTGCCGTGTTTGGGATACTTGAACTACACGCTCAAAATGATGAAAACGCCCTCTCAACGGCTCTATATTTTAAATCATAAAATGCAGCAACACTTGCCCAAGTCGTTTTCATGGCTTCAATCACGCCACTTCCCTCCTCCAGGTAAAATACCCAACTTGTATATATTTTATTCTAAAAAACTTCTAAACTCTTTAATCTATCACTTCCTATATACACACACATACATTAGAATATTCATATAATACATATTTTTATATGTAATAGATGATTAAATGAATATTAATTTTAAAGTTTCCAGTTGAATTTCGACCGTGGAATAATCAAATTATTCAAGCATAATTCATTTCTTGCGCAGGGAAAAAGACAAATTTGTTGTACTTAGCATCTTCTCAAAAATTGGTGTTTGTAGATTCCGAGATTGTATAGTTGTTTATTATGCCCACAATCTGTTTGTGAATTATTCAACAAGAAAAGTAAAATACACGTATATATGTTGTATAATCTTAGTACATGGAATTTCTTCATTAACATATTATTGTTAGGTTTGAAATTTGTATCTTCAAGGTTTTGGCCTTGCTGGACTTAGCACCTTTTGGGTTCTTTTGTCCAAGTACTTGTATATAAATTACTAATTGAATGCTACCAAGGAGTCAAATATTCTGCTGATTGAACTGAGAAATTGGCAACTTTTATCGTCAAATGTGACTTTCTGTTGTGTTCAAGGTGCAGATTGCTTTGAAGTATTGCAACCCATAATTGAGTTTGTGATTCTCAATCATATACTCACTCTACTATTGTTCTTGAGTGGAGTTTTGGTCGTAGTTTCAGTTTCAGGGTTACAAAGTTTTCGTTTGGTTAGCTAGTTTAGAAGGATTCTTTGTTGAATCTCAAGTTTCTTGAATTTTTGGTCAATATATCTTCTTTCTGTAGAGCCCAATTATTAGTAAGGGGCCGTGAATTATCTATTTGAGTAGTACAAATAGTAGAGTTCTTCGTTAGAGGGGTATCTTTTCTTTAATCCGAACTGGTTGTCAGGTGATACGGTAAATGGTGGAAACAAAGGAAGATCAGTAGATGATTCTTTTATAAAACTGGGGACTAGTCATCAAAAGTTGAATTCAGTTGAGGCTTAGAGAGTTTCAGAGGAGTTAATAGGGAAAGAATTTCATGGACGCACATGGAAGGGGCTACTCGGACTTTGATAGGAACACAAGCGAAGAGTTATTCTTGAAATCCTTGATGGAGAATTCGGTTGGAATGCCAGTGCCAACCATGGAAATGTTGGGTTTTAAGAATCTTCCTCATAATGTTCGTACAGATAGTGAGGAACTCTTCAAAAGCTGGCTTACAAATGGAGAGGCAAACAACTATCCTTCTTTTACTTTGTTTTCTGATCCATTTTCAAATATTGATTCATGAAGTGTTGTTCAAATAATTTGAATATCTTAGCTAATTTTATGTTTCAGAGAAGGTCTGAAGCCTAAAAACCCTGATTTTCTTATACCATTTAATTTAATAAATAAATTATTATTAATTCCCTTTCCTTTTCTACTTTTGATTTCTTTGATGGTAACTGGGCTGCTGGGAAATTTTGGGGCAGAATATCAGTTAGCTTTACAGCTGAATATGAGTTTTTTTTTTCTTTCTCAGTTATATGTTAGAACAAGGTTTTTGTATGCTATACACAAGTTTATCTCAGTTCTAGACATAAATACTCCAATGAAGGTTTTAGCCTGTATATTTCAAGAAATAATTCTTTTCACATAAAATTACTCTTGGGAAATATCCATGCATTTCAGTTTTTGTCATTTATTTCCTCTTCTATTAAGTGAATACTACCCCCATTTTGTTTCTTTAAGATGGTGATAGTAAAAGGAAACATTTTGCTATTCAGTTTTTAGTTCACATCATACAAGTACAGTTTTAAATCAACAATACTCATGACTAGAGGCATTCTAAACTTATCCACCTACCTATATTTGTACTCTATGGATAGTGTACCCCGTGGGCGAGTCATGGAAATAATAGGAAACGATTGTGGACTGGCTGTCACTTTAGCACCATAGCCCCGTGCCTTGCAAAGTTATTATCCACTAACACTGTGCTTGTATAGTTTGCTCAAGTAAAGGAACTACATGCATATCTTAGTCTTTTGTATTTCTTGTTTATTTACCTGATTTCAGTTTGTTTTAAAAAAATTAGTCTAACATCTTATGAATTTTAATATCTCCTTGGCGGTCATCCCTTCGATGTTAAAATTATTTTTATGGTACTAGGCATTTTGTAATTTGTCATGAGAAATAGTGAGCATTTACATTCCATTCTGATTATATCACTGATATGCTAGTGATGGAATTATTTGTTTCTAATTTTTCTATATGTTATTGATCATATCATCTCAGGAATCCAGAAGGCACTATCACAATTATTTAGTGGTAGTGCTTTTCTTTAACTGAAAAAGATAATGGAAGGGTACCTCCTTTACAAAGTCAGATAAAGTGAAAATAATTGAATCATTGAAATCCCTCTCTTTACTTTGTTTAAGAGTAACTTTTGATAAATAGTTTTTCTCTAATATATTTTGCTACTTTAATTATACATCATATTTTATCTTTTTCTTCTCTCTCTCTCTCTCTCTCTCTCTCTTCATGTTTATATGAAGTTTTCTGATTTCACTGTTAGTTTTCCCTCTATATTGTTGTTTGTCTCAGTTGATATACTTTTGTTTTCCAGAATCATGGCTATAATTCAACGGGCATAGCTCATCGTACTCGACAAGCATCAAGAAGGTTAGTAGATTGCAATAGTAGACAATTTCATACCTACTGGGTGGTAGAAAGCTTCTTATCCAATACTTGGGTGTAACTGTTTGCAAGACTTCCTTGAGGATTTTGCATTGATACATGCTTGTAGGAGGCTTTATTCCATTTGTATCTTTCTTTGTTCTTTAGAAAAACAATTCTCTTTTCGACTTTCTTATGTATTTGTGATGCTTATGATGGTGATGTCTGCTGTGAAGTCTTTTTTGACAAGAAAAGTCCATGTGGAGTGATGTGTGCAACGAAATCTTAAGATCTAGGGGAAAATATAAGAGGTTGGACAACAATTTTGTTACAATTTCATGCCTTCAGCTTAAGAAACGGATCTCTGAATTTTTATGGTGCTGTAGTAGTTACCTGATGATTCCATAAATTTGAGTAGTGGAAGTTGAAATTCACATATTTTAGTTGTAAACTTGAAATTCTAAATTGGAGAGAACCATTGCATAAATTCAAAGGTATTCCATTCCGTCCATAAATAGGGAAGTTCAATTGAACCTGAGTTCCTTGTAGAATTAGTTTTCCTATTCCTTTTCCTAATTTCACTTGAAGACCCCGAAACTCTAGGGCTAATCATGGCTATGCATTTCACGATGTGTTTCTTGTACTTCTATTATATGACATGATAGATGTCTCTATAATTGCTCTTCAGTATATAGTAGGTCTAAGTTTGCTATAATTTTGATTTTGAAAGGTTTTTGTGCTGTCAAATTTCGTTTAAAGTTTCAAATTTTCAGGAATTATTTTAAAATAGATATGAAGTGTGTGAATCTGTGATGCATAACATGTGGGAAGTTTTTTTGAGCGCCTTGAGAAGTTTAAGTTCAAGAACAATCTTTAGAGGAATCCGTACATGAGTGATGATGTGTTTTACGGGTTACTAAGGCGGTGGCTATGCATGCTTGGTGGGTTGCTAATGTCGTGTTGATGAGTGTTTGGATTTGGAAGGCGAAAGCAAGTTTACCGCGTTATCTTTTTAATTTATATGTTGCTTAATTGCCTATATAAAGTATGATCTCCTATTGTAATGTTGTAATTTAACCATGTTTTCTTTTGATTCTAACTCTCCTCATCTATCGGATAATGGGTCTAGTTTTCAGAATTATTTTTGTCTATACTATCTTATGTAGGGCATTTAAATTTCATGTTAAATGCAGGATATCCACTGAGCTATCCAGCTTATCTAATCAGCAACATGGGGGTATGCTTCAGAAGAAAAGAAGCAATGATATTTTATTCCCACAAAATACTTCTGGGGCTGATGAACCCTCGAGTGACCTCAACCAACATTCAATGAGGTGACTTCTTTACCTTTTGATTTCCTTGAGTGCCTTCAACACAACTATTCAGAATTATTACCCATTTATTTCACTGTTCTATTCCACCTAGGATTATGCTTTCCCTTAAATAAGGATCAGAACGTGTCCGTTCTGGTCATCCATTTTGTCCTTGCAACACCTTTAAACTGAACATGTCATTCATTGCTCATACAGCTATTGATTCTTGTTGTACATGGTCAAGCCATTTCAACTGATTGGCTCTGATGTTATCCTTAGTTGGTGGTACCTCAAATGCTTTTTGAATGTATTCATTTGTATTATGGTCCTTATTCAATTCCAATAGAGCAAGCATTTCTGCTGTTGATGTTGACTGACTTTTGCCTTTATTCAATCAGGAATGCAGTCGAAAGGGGGTGGCAAGCTAGTAACTTACATTTGGCCAAGGTTTGTTTATATTAATACTGCTGCAGAAACATTAGTTCAGCATAATTTTCCTTATAATCTAATATCTCACCTTGCATTGCGTCCATGGTTTCTTATTAATATTGCTGCTGAAACATTAGTTCAGCATAATTTTCCTTGATAATCTCATATATCACTTTGCATTGCAGGCATGGTTTCACAGTTCTCAACCCATGACAAGAAGCCGATCATCTGAATTACGGTATCATTGTTTTCACTTATTATGATAATAAAAATTATATCAAAGGGAGTTTCATTTTCTGGTTAGCACTTTTAGAACAGTCATACCCAGTACGACCTTTTTTGTTTAAAATCATGGGCAAAGTCAAATGCTTGCAAATGAGAAACTTAGGGTTTGAACTCTAGCAGTCCAGGATCCTTTTTCAATTTATTTATAGTGAATTTTATTATTTGAATAAGAGAAATTATTAAGCTTTACATACTTATTTTTCAGGAGGAGGTATGTTGCCATGCAAAACTCTCAAACATCATTGGGTATGGAAACTATGCATAATGTATCTGGGAATGGTGTCAATCTGGAACAAGAATTCGAAAATACGAATGGATTTAATGACATTTCAATGTGTGACATTCCCAATCAGTTTAGCACATTCATGTCTCCATCCAATTCATCGTCATCTACTTTCAACAACCCTCAAGTGGATGGTGTAGATAAAGTTTCTTCTGTTGTGAGTATGTTGAAGGGTACACTAGAGCGCAAGAAGCTTAGTAACCAGATTGAGAAAGGAGGTGTTGAAGAAGATTGCTCTTTAGGGTTTTATGGTGCTCAACAAGTTCTAGGTAACATGAGTTTGGATCAACGACAAGTAAATCATATTCATGAGGTGCCAAGAACTTATCAAGATGTATCCCCTATAGAAGTGAAAGATCCTGGGGTTTTACAAACAGTTGAAGGATCCTTTTATATGGACTTAGAAGGTTTTGTGAATCCTTCAAACCTGATCCAAATTAGCACAGCATCTAGAGAACCTTCGCAAAGTGAATCTTCTGCTGCTGCACCTGTGGTCTCAACTGGTTTTGATGCATGCGATGGTCCCAGCAACTCAGGCCAAACTCTGAGCGTTTGTGAGAGCTCCAGAAAACATGCTGGAAACGGAAGGAGTTCAGAAAATGACTCTAGAGCCAAAGGTACATATAAGATGCTCAAGCTGACTTCAGTGACCAAGTCACAGGCATATCTTAGATTAAGGAAGTTATCTACTGATCATTGTTTGCATTATCTTGCTTGAGTTATCTGCTGTTCCCAGGAACGATTTTTTTTGGTAAGGTGTTCCTAGGAATATTTAGTCTTTCTAGAAGGATTTTTCAGTACTTAGCAGTATATCTGGCCAGCACTTGTGTTTTTATTTGTCTTTTACTTGTTCTCGTATTAGTGTCCATTCTATGAGAACACCTACATTTTATTTTGCTGTGAAAATAGAATTCCTTATGTTAAGCATATGGAATTGCTATTATATTTTGATATTCTTGAAAGATGTGAAGCAGTAGTATTGGAACTCTTTGCTGAATTATCTCACTTCTCTGTTGCATCCTTGCCATGGGCTGGTTTTCTCTTGTTCATTTACTTAAATACTTGAATATGTGCTAAATTATGAACATTCATTAGATGGAAATTAGATTGAATATGTGCTAAGAGGGACCACATATAGAAAATCTTGTCTCATTTTTCACCTTAGTCTCCTCATGTAAACTAGGGCATGTTTGGATGTCCCATGGAAAAAACTGGTCCATTTTGTTAACAAGTCTATCCTTTACAATGCTGCCATTACAACAAGATGGGGCCCTGACTACAAAGGTTGATATTTTATATTTGTATGAAGTTCAAAATGCTCATGAGGGATGGAATCCAAATTTATGACATTTCCAAGAATCATTTTACTTGTTTTCTTTCTCTTTTTCTTTCTAAATATATGGATATTCTCCTTATGCAAATATCTTATTTTTGAACTACAGATATCAGAGAACGAATATATGACAACTTAAAAGATGATCGAAAGGTATGCTCAATCCAATCCATGTACTTTGATAGTAAGTACAGTTTTTGTTCAATTTTACCATGATCCAATTTACTTTGTTGTTTACCTCTGTGCATTTTCAGCAAAAAGGAAGTCTTGTTCGATATGGATCTGTGACGTCAGCTGGCTCAGGTAATCAAATCATTAAGAACTTAACAAACATGACAATTGGCTTCCCATAACTAGATTACAGAGGAATTTTTTTTCTGTTCTTTTCACCTAACTTAGAGAAATATTAGGTTCCTATGATCTGAATCTATTGAGGTGCTAATGCTTGATGATTTTGAGTGAAAAAATCTATGTGCTTTAGGTCATGGGGTGAAGTGATGCTGTAGTGATTTAGGACACATAAAAAAAAAAAAAAAAAACAAAAAAAAAAGTGATGCCGTAGTACCTTAATGGTAGTAAACTATCATGAGGTCTTGTCTAGATAGACAAACTGAAAAATAATAACAAAAGTTAGGGCCATCTCTAATCTTCCCCTCCCAACAACCGTGCATGGACAAGACACTATTAGTAGGGGTCATTGCCTGGTGCAATGGTAAACGCTCAGACTGACAAAACATGAAGTTGAACTTCTGAGTTTGTGAGTAGCCACTTCATGTAAAACAATGCCAAAGGTTAGGTTGTCTCCAGTCTTTCCCTCCCAGCACCCTGCATAGGCAGGACACACATTTGGTAATGCACTAAAGACTAATAATGTGGAATTATTTTATATCATAAAGTTTACATTTTAACAGTCTGAATTGTGCAATGAACTTTGGGCGATGTTGATGTTTTAGAACTTCCAACTCTGTTATTCTATAGGAAAATGAAATATATTTCTTTTATTTTTTTGCTAATATTTGAAGGCGTCAAGAAGCACGGATATAGATACTAGACCTGAATACAAAGATGATACAGATAGGATGACATGAAAAATCCCACAAAGTAGGAGATGGACACGACGAATACTAAATATGTAATTATATATATATATATATATATATATGATTCTATAATATAAGGCAATGACAATTTATTTTTATCAATCTGAGAAGAAAACATCCACAAATCATAATAACAGGTAAGGTATAATTATAAACCTATCATTTTAAGTATCATTCAACTAAAGCAACTCCATAAAAATAATAATAACAGGAGATCGGTCAACATCACAAAGTCAAAATATCAAAATCCAAGAATAAAACATAACAATTACAAATTAATTCTATCATTTAAGTTATATGTTCCATATTATTATAAGACATTATCACAAAGTCACTGAATACATCAGCAAGAGAAAATCTGAACATCTATCATCGAGTAATCTTCACTTCAATGTTAACACCCATGGAAAAAAGAAAGAGGAAAGGATCAGATTATCTCCTTTCCCAAAAAGAAAAGTAAGTATTCATTAATTCATCATTTGATCCAGTTTCATTCACCTCATAATCACCACTGATCCAAATTTTCAACAAGCCTTAATAATTTGACTTTGTGAAATCCCCAACTATTTCCAGCTTTTAACAACTTCCAATTCCAGAAAGTCCTATATATTCCAATCAAAGTGGAATTGTTTATCGTTTAGGATTTCAAAATTTAAAGGGCTTGTTAGAATATCGACTCATGGATTGGCAATTTCTTAATGGAAAACTAGGATTGAAAGATTGAACAAAATGTCTAGTCAATTGCTACACCCACAAAAAGTTGATGAAGACGAGCTCAATGACATATGTGGAAAAAGGTAAATTGAGACCTTAGTGGACATAGAAAAATAGGTTGGGATAATCTATTTAGATGGACTGACCACCCATGACCTAGGTTTGATCTTGAAAAGTATCAAAATAAAGTTTAAACATGTTTTCAATATTAGGGCATTTCAATCAATAAAAAAATTGTTGCATTGATCAAAAACAGTTTGACCCATTCTAAAACACAATTTTATAATTGGTCTACCTTTGTCCTAGTGGCTTTGGGTCTTAACTCCCAAGCCCCATGTCAAGGTATCGAGACTGGTAGAGAGAAAAGAAAGGAAAAACGCAATTGTATAGATCAAAACATGCAAATGTCAAATCTAGCATGTTTAATGATATGAACACATGCATATGAACCCTACTTTTTGTGAGGTATAATTTGAGATTTGAAATTACCTTTTTGCCCTTTCTTGAACCTTTGAATTCCAGTTTCGCCCTTGGGTAGAGGTAAACCTAGCTTTTGAAACATAAACAAATTCTAAAATAAAACATACAGTATTTTGTTTGTACAAAATTAGCCAACATAAGTCCTATTGACCTAATAGGGCTAAAATAACCCATAAATTGTAAGAAAATAGTAAAAGAAGGACCTACTTGGATGGTTAGATTACCCAATGGCTCACTATTAATAATTACGAGTTGTGGAAACTAGCTGGTCGCAGGAGTTGTTGCAGTTGCAGTTCTCTCTCTCTCTTTCTCACACACACACGTCCAAAACTTTAATGTTTTCATTTGGAACCCCCATCATACTTTTGGAACTTTTTGAGAAGCCCTCATGTTGTGTCGCTGTGTGCGTGCTAGCGTTGCACACATGTCAGAATTTAGATACGTATCGTCAGTCACATGTTTAATTTAAAGAAATAAAGAAAGAAGGTACACTTTTTACCGTGTTCAACGCATGTCAGGGTGTGTCTGATGCTTTCCTTTTAGACATGTTCTTGCTTCCTAGGAAGGTGCAATTAATCCTTTTAAAATAGTGTTAATGCCATAAAACATGAAATAATCCAATTGCAAAACTGGAATATTGATGTTACTTTTTGTATATTAAAAAATCATCCTGTACTTGCAACAATTCTTGAAATGTTAGTTGCTGTCTAAATATATTAACATGATCTTTTTCTGCTGCAGTCTAAACATCTTTATCTGATTCAATCTGAAATCATGTTTTACTGGTTTTATAGTTCTCCTTCTCAAGAAAAACTGTTGCAACAGAAATGTTTGTATATGCTAGGTTGGGGAAAAAATGTATAAGAAATGTTAACATACTAAAATTGCTGTCTTACACAAAATTTAATAAAGATTTTTTTTTCCTTTTATGTTGACTTTGTTTCTCTGCCTTTCTGCTTATTTTGATATAGGCACTGTATTTATTGATTATTTGCTACAGATCAACTATGTATCATTATGCTGTCCTATAATTTTCTCTAACCAAAAGAAGTTATGCAGTGGACAAAGCGGATCCCACGAAGAAGCGTAGAGTGGAGAGGTCGCGGAAGTACGTATCACTATCTTGAAAACTTGGGAAGAAATATCTTCTTCCTTTATCATTTTTATTCTTTCAGATACTTTTAGATCTTTTCAGTTATATAGCCTTGGGAATACATTGTCTCAATGTTTTAGCCATTTTGGATGTAAAAGTTGCATGTTTTCTTTGCATGCATTGCTACTTTACACTGTTTGAATATTGTGCTTCTTATGTTTTTTATTGGTTTATTTTTTTCTGATTTAGGCATGGAATTATATGTCATTCAACATGGAAAAATATGTCTTCTCATATTACTTTCCATTATATGCTAAAAGTTTTCCAGCATAATGAACATTTCTTCTAGGTGTTTCCTGTGTTCTTTGGACTGGGAGTTATTATTATCTGTTTAGAAGTAATGTCTGTCCCTCTGTTCTTATGCTATGAAATCTTTTTTGACTTTATTCACTGTTTCAGATGTTTTTATATATTGCTTATACCTTTTAAACATTTTTTTGTAGTTTGCATAAACACTTCTTTCAATGAACCTCAAGAGGAATTCATGAAAATAAAAAACCTTGACCCACTACACCTGATGGGACATGATATCCCTTGCTGAAGTTTTACTCGTGTCTGAATCCAGAAACCACCCCTGGAAGCCTCCTAAAGACCATTACCATCACATGTCGGACTTGGAAATCACTCTACGATTTTCTGTTTTATAGAGTTTGTTCCCAATCTTATACTAAATATCAATCTGGAGTTGTTACGACCTTTACTTATCTTGCTGTCCTGATTATGATTGTTAAGATTTTTTTTCCCCTTTGGCTTTGGATCTCATTTTGTTTCGTTTCTCTTTTACTTAGTTACATGAATATAGAGAGAATTTGTCCACAACATATATGGTTGTGTAGTGATTTGTTGATGAATGGACATACTACATCTTATGTTTTGAACACCAGATGATTCTTCATTTCTAATATACAAAATTGTTCTTCAACCCCTTGATTGCTTTTCAGTGAAATCTGACGTTAGCATGCAATAAGTCCAGATTTTACATAATTAAATAGTCTGGTATTTTCATTATTTGTCACTGGACACAGATACTCGTACTGTTGATTATATATGCTACATGAAGATGAAACCGTGTTCAAACTCAAGTAGATGTTTATAGCAAGCAGGTTGCCTTATGCTTAATTTTCTTGGTGATGTAGAATGGCAGAGGCAAAGGAAAGAAATCTGACACCAGCAATTCCATCAGATATGCAATCTGTTATGAAGCGATGCGACAATCTTGAGAAGGAAGTGCGATCACTCAAACTTAACTTGTCTTTCATGAATAGGTACCAAAACAATCAATTTACTTTCAAATGGGTAATCATATTTTATATCAATTTTAAGGTTTATTTCTTGTTTAGCTCCTCATTCAGTTATTATGAAGCATACACATACATCCATTTCTTTTGGGGTAATGACAGGTGGTATTTGATGATATGCTTGTTCAGTGTGGTGTTATTTTTCTTGCTAAGATTATGTGTGCTCTGCACATGGCATTATGTGCTCCTAAAATAGTAAAAATTTGGGGTTTGCTTTAGCTAGCTAGAAATCTTTTAAGAATAACATTTTTATCATTTAGAATCACGAAATACCTTTATAATCTGAATCTTTGGCACCTGGCTCCCTCCAGCACACCACTGCTAAAATTCTCTCAACTATATATTTGGGTGTGAAAACTGTATGTTTTTTGGTTTGATTGTTGTCTGGATTAGAACAGGGTCCGAGTTTGGATGTACAAAAATCTATTTTATGAAATTGGAACAAATTTGAAATTGCTTGTAAGAAATATATTTTTATTCAGTAATAGCCATTCTATTGAATCATTTCATTCGACGCATCCATAGGCAAAGGCCAAAATGAAATTACTTATTATATTTTCCACCCTTAGACTTTCCGTATACTCAACTAAAGCCTTGTCTTCTACCTTAAGTTTTCACCCACAGGCAATTTAATGACAATACTCAAGAAAACTTTATTCCTAATACATGGAGTTTATTTTAAGGTTTCAGGTTCACAATAATGCACCTGGCTTTGACCGATCACAATCCACCTCTCTGCAGAATTAGCTTGCCATGTGAAAAATAAGACACCCAAAAATAATAAAGACGACATTGATTAGGACTCAATGTGCTTGTTTATGTTGTTTAAAGAAAGAAGTATGTATATAAACAAATAAATATTAGCATCTTGCCACACCTGGCAAGCGGAGTGCTTAGATAACAGATTCTTACTAAGTTATGTTCATTGCACTATGATGTAATCTATCGTGATGAGGAATATATTGAAACTAACTGGAACTGCGTATGATTCTTTTATACTCCATTTTGAAAATCCATATCTAATAATCCGGTGATACCTAGCCATTGAAGTGAGCTTCTACATTTATTGAACTTGATCCTGCTTCTTTAAGACTTATCCAACATATGATGTTTGAACTTGCAAATTTGAGAGCTATAATCATTAATCAGTTTTCTTTTTTTTTTGTTTTTTTTTTTTTTGTGTGTGTGTGTGTGTGTACAAACTATGATAGTCTAAGGTCCTTCGCATGGATCTTACTGTGTGGAAATCAGAGAACACTTCATAGCATGAGAAACGCGATTCAATTTCCCCTCCACAAGCTCACACACAAGCACGCAGATTATGACCAAAACTTAAGCATTTGTGACTTGATGAGAAACTTTCTTTCTACAACCACTTCTTCATGATGCAGGAAATCTGGATATCATGTGTGTCTGTGTGTCTCAGTGCTTGCTATAGTCACTTGCGCACCATCAAATAATATATCTCTATCCTTGTAATAATTGCACTAGTTGACATGTTACCTACTTTGTAACTTTCTATAATCACTGCTATACTTGCCTCCACACAAATGAGGAGGAACCTCCTCATCACCACTAATATGGCACAATGACAAGATGACTGTCTTTTTTTAAATTTAAAACATTTAATGAAAAAACCAAGAAATATTAACATTTTTCTCTCTCATATTTAAAATTCAAAATGGACACATGTTATTCTAACATTGTGACACAAGTTTTGTTCTACAAATTTTATTCTACTTTACCTTTCAATAAATAAATAACTAATAATAATAATTCTACTTCAATGGAAATATACCAACTGTATGAATCTTTTGTCCTATCATTTGAGGTACTATGATAGCAGTATATAGCTCAAGATAGCCTATAAATTGCAGAAAAACCTATCTGTCCCCTTTTCAATTTAGAGATTTTTTTTGTTTTTATTTTTATTTTTAGCATGATTATATTGTCATTATAATCTCCTGGATTATAAAAAAAAAAAAAAAATTTGCCTGGCCAAGATCTAGTGTTTTTTTTTTTTTTTTTTTTTTTTTTTTTCTCTCTCTCTCTCTCTGTGCGCAAAATAGAAGTTTCTGTTTTTGCTCACCATTTTATGTCTAATGAATTTCAGAAAGGATTCTGAACAGACTAAGCAGATAGAAGGGCTTCAAAAGCAGAATGATGAATTGACGGAAGAAAAGGAGCGCCTTCTTGAAGAGATTGAGCGGATTATCTCCGAAACAGGAAAGATGTGAGACCTAATTCTGTTACCATTTTCTCACTTCTTTTTGCCTGGGACACAAAACAACCATTTGTATTTAACCATTTTAAGAAGCCAAGCTGGGGCAACAGTGCAAGGAGTGTCGAAACGTCCATTTCAGCTTTCAAAAGTACCTCAATCTCAAGCAAAATTGATTAAAACAGTGTCATATCATAGGTGGAGGTTGCTTTTCATTGTCGGTATGAAGTACTATAGTCGCTGTATATGGCATAGCCTAACAATGATAATAGCTTCCATTTTGTAAACTTGGAGAGGTTGTATCAGACAGACTAAGCTTCAGTTTCAAAAACTAAGTAAACTAGTTGCAAGGTGAGGTGATTATGATGATCTCTGTAAGGCTTTGTTTGGTTCCCTGGTTTTCGTGAGGGAAAAGAAAAGACAATGCAAAGGAAATTATTTTATCTTATTTGATTTCCATGTAATCTCTCGATTAATCAAGAGATGAAATTCAATGGAATATTGTTTTCCATTCTCTTTCACTAAATTTGAATATTGTGGAAGGGAAAAGGTATACAGCAAGTGCATGTTTGGGAAAAGGTTAACTGGTACCCCAGTCAAACACTTTGTTCATCTCTGGAATTAATTTATTTTTCATTAATTTTGGCTTTCATTTATTAGTACTGCAAATTCAAATTCATTGGACCAAGGCAAGTCCTTGCTCTTGGTGGCAGTTATGAGGAAGCCTCGAGTATATTTTTAAATAGGTCAAATGATTTGGATATTTCAACAGTTTTAGCCCTACCTTTGGAAAGCAGTAAAATAAATTAATACAAAAATAACAAAAATTAAGGGAAAGTATTTTTTAATTTGATCATGTGAAGGGCTAATTTGACTTAATTTTTAATTTTTAAAATTTTCTCATCCTTTACTTTTGTGGCTCTTCATATAATAACTCCATCATTTCCCTTCTCCCATCCTCTTCCTTTCCTTCCCCCTGCCAAACATAGCATAAGCTGCATAGCATAAATTTCCATGGCTGGTTTTTCTAAAGAAAGATCAGTGACAACTATAGAGAAATTAAATATATAAATGGATTGATCACCAAGAGGAATATTCGAACTATGGGGAGGATAAAAATAGTGAGGAAAGAGCAAGTAAATTGACCACACCACTTGAGCACCAATCATGAATGCTTGAGTTGTCCAAGTAAATCCAATTAGGTTTGTATCCCTTTCTTTTCTTTAAATCAGTTAGACTTTTGGTTCACTAATCCAATAAATGATAATGTTGTGTGTGGAGCATGTTTTGGATTTGGATTAAATTTAATTTAAAATTTTAATTAAATTTATTCTAATTTGAATCGCAGTTTTAATGGCGTGATTTTAATTAGTGATGACAATTTGTCCCGCGGAAACGGGTACCAGCCCCGCCCCGCCCCCTTTATAGCGGTTTTGGCGAACCGCTTAACTTATTTGGGCAGAAAGAGTTGTTATTAATGAAAATCAGTGCGGATTCGGGGCGGGGGCGGGGGAGGTCGTCTCACCCGTTTAAGTAGGTAAATTACAAAATTACCCTTATTTTATTAGTATATATAGTTAGCACTATAAATTTTATATTACATTCACGCACTTTCTAAATTGTTCTAGAGATCGGCAGAGCCATACGAACTAAGAACGTTCATACCCTTAATTGTTCATTTTTTATGAATTTTTTTAATAGTTATATAATTGTATTTGAGGAAAAAATATTAAACAAGGATGAGAAATTTTGGAACTAAATGGGGCGGGTACTTGCGGAGGTGAAAAAGTTAAACGAGTGGGTATGGGGTGGAAAGGTCTATGTTTAGGTGATTTTGGATGAAAATTTCTAAACAATTGCCGCCGGAGGGGGAGGGGGAACTGCCCCCGCATCTCTAATTTCAATAATTGAATATGTAAGTCCCGCTATGAATTTATAAAATTTAAGGGCTGAACTTGTATAGTAAAAGTTGGGACCGCATATAATACAACTCAATTAATAAACTTCAAAAAAAATTGACCAAATCAATATTAGCAAACAAATTTGAATTATTTCTTGCCACCATATTTTGCATAAAATTCAATAATTTCAAAGGATTCATCAATGAATTATTTCTTTGCCAAGAAAAAAATAAAAAAAATAAATCTTATTTCATTTTTATGTAACATAATGCTAGTATTCAAATTCAACATTTAGTTTTACAGGTGAAAAAAAAAAAAAAGAAAAAAAAAAAAGAAAAAAACAAACAACAACGCTTGATCATTTAACTCATTTTAAAATATTAGCATAACATAAAAAAAATATCACGAGAGAATTTAATATAAATTATATAACAAAATTGAACTAACGAATATTATTATTTTTGGGTAAGAGATATCATGTCCATAAACAAATATTCCAAAACCTCATAAATGTGTTCAATCCTCGAATACATGAATTAAGAAAATTCATCTTTTAAAATAATAAATTTGAATCATGTTTCACACTAATGAAAATGTATCTCATAATTGGATGAATGAACTTAAAATGATTTATCCTAAAATTAGATGAATCAAGTAGATTCATTGAGAATATTAAATGTCATGTATGAATGAATACTTGTGAAAACATCTCCCTCAAAATACATGCATATAATGTAAACATATTTATATAAATTAAAATATTTTATTTTAATTATATATAAACATATTTTCAAATATATTTTAAAATATTTTCCGACCATTCACTTGGAAGTAATATTCTTGTAGGTAAAAGGAGCAACCTTTATCAAAAGGCAATTAAGCTGTAGTCACATGAATTAACCCCTGTAATTGTGGTTTTTTTTTTTTTTTTGTTAAACCCTGTAATTGTGGTTGCCTTTTCTTTTTCCTCTCTGTAACTTTGATGATGTTAGAGAGAATAAAGCAGATCATGAAATGACTACTAGTCAATAGTCTACGCAATCAAGTAATCGTGTGTGTGTATATATATAGTCAACATTCATAGCTGTCAGTGTAAGAATCAATCATCAGCATGTATAATTTTTTTAATTTTAAAAAAAAAAACTTGTCTCATTTATGATGACCAGATTATAACGATGATTTAGTCTCCACGGTCATATTGCATGCGTAGGACAGTGACAATATATTTAACTATGATATATATTCTACTTTAATTTGGACTTATAAATAAATAAATAAAAATAAAAGAGGACCAAAGATTTTTTTAATTTAAAAAAAAAACTTGTCTCATTTATGATGACCAGATTATAACGATGATTTAGTCTCCACGGTCATATTGCATGCGTAGGACAGTGACAATATATTTAACTATGATATATATTCTACTTTAATTTGGACTTATAAATAAATAAATAAAAATAAAAGAGGACCAAAGTGATGTATATATATTTTCAACAATGAATTAGTTGGAGAGAGGAAGTTGGGAGCTAGTTTAGGAGGCAGTGTACTGGTCTATAGAACAACTTGAGGAAGTGAAAAATAAATTTTAAAAGAAGAAAAAAAATTGGAATTAATGTTGTTTCAAAGTTTTCTTTGAATAATTTAAGGATTCATAACTTTTTGTTCAGCCAGCTTAAGTTATTCCAATTTTCACGTGAGACAAATTCTCCCTTGATACATTCTCTTCTCTCCGAACTTGCAACGTCCTCGTTGCGGCTCGAACCACCCTGCCTAGACGTGACATAGGATCAATGACTGGATTAGCTTTGATACCAACGGTAATAGATGGATGCTTCGTAATCCGACTCAAAAATTTAAGTTATTAGGTGGGACTAACACCCAACTCATATATACATATTCATTTTTTCATCCAGATCAGATGTGAAACTTCAAAATTTAATCAAGTTTGTTCAATTGTAGACCAAGGAATTCAGTGGTGAGAAGAGAAGCTTCAAAATCAAGTTATATCAATCTGACTACTTCCCATATATTGTAACACCAAGAAAAGCATATATTGCAGCCCTTAAATCAGTATGTTTGATTAATTACTTGGTACAAGTATAATGTTGTATAAAGAAAAGAAGAGTTGTTTCAATTACAATTAAATAGAATTGTTGTAGTAGATGAACATTTATCCTAGTCTAGAATAAATCAATACAAAACAAAATACAGAAAGGGAAACATATAATACAAGATCAAATGTTGCACCAATAAATTACCCCTTCAAACTTCATCTCCATACCAACTGTTTTTCATCTTGGGGCTAGTAGGACCTTCCTCTCCAAACACTTCATCTGGCAGAAGATTCACCAAGCTCTCAAATGCAGATTTCGGCTCACCATTCAACGAATTCTCCACCTTTTCGACCTCAACCCCGAGTTCATACGTAATTTTCGGTTCCCATTTCCTAGCATAGTTCAGCCATGGTGGCTCCTCAACAACCTTCCCTCCAAGATTCTCGGCCGCAACCACTGAATACCCAGTCCCAGTGTCCATCTGTTGGGAAACGTGCAAGTTTTTAAAACTTTTCGAGAGATTTTAATACATAGATCTTAATTCATCACATAGAGACAAGTTTTATGCAAAAATAAAATATGATATATCATTCAATTAACATATTGAATACTTACATCAAAGGTCTGAGTAAACCTTTAATTCTTTCCTCTAAAGTGAATGTTCTCACTTATTGTAGATCCCTTAGCAAGACGCCTTCTCCTTGGATCTCCATCTTCTTGATAATTGTTTTGCCTTTAGGAATCACTCATATGCCTCCATGAATGATCTTAGAAAATTAGGCTTGTGAGAGCTTCCATTAGATGAGAACACTAATCCTAATTTTCTAGAGAGAGAAAATTTATTCATTTTTCCTTCTCATAAAAATCACCCCTAAAATATACATAGACCATGTATATTTATAGGCAACATAAAAATAAAGAAAAGGAAATAACAAATCCTTCTCAATCTGTAATTCATATGTCTCAAATCTAATATGATTCCAATATCAAGTTAGGCTATGAGTGAGAATCCATTGGGCCTATTATTTTATTGGCTACAATGAATTAATAATTGGCCAGGTCCATGGACCCAATTCAATTAATTAATAAATTAATTTCTACTCCACTAAAAGAAATTAATTGAACTCCAATTAAATAATAAATAACCTCTAAATCAATATTGCACTTTGACCCCTCTATGCATAATTAGTTATCGGATAAATAAAGCCACCAATCCGACTACTTAATTAATATATTTATTTTGGTATCATTGATTATTTCTGACTCGATCACAATAAAACATTTGTTTGAAAAAAATAATAATTTAATATATATATATATAATAAATCATTTTGTCTAAAACCACACGAAGGCCTTCGAATTTACTTTATGATCAATCATAATCAATACAAAATAAATACAAATAGTAATGATGCAAATATTGAAAATATAACCCTCTAACTATTAATCACATAACTACCCAAAGTGTCGGTCTAAGGATCCCGAAGAATCCG